AACATATATTTTTCATCAAAAGCAAATTCAGATTAGTTTAGTTTTCAGAATTCTCTTATACCCTTTAAGATCATTGAGATGTAAAAACCATAGGTGGTAACATTCTTCCAAATAGTTTCAAAGGATGTCTTACACTTCATTTTATACCCTGGGTACCTAATAGAGTGTGAACATCTAAATAAGACTCAGTGGCTCTTATGGGTTAATTAACTGTTGGAGTTGGAGACCATGGACTTGCTTTGAATTTCTAGCAGGGCTTCCCTTGGAAATTGCATGCCAAAGTCCTTCCACTTGTTTTGCACAATTTCGTGTCGTTTTTTGCTCTCAGAAATTAGCAAACCATTTGACTCCAGAGGGTGCCGAACCTTAGCTACTTCTCCCATTTAGCATGAGGAGGGCGGCAGCAACTAGCTAAAATCCTAGAGAAAAATGCTGCCCTCAGATTTGGGGCCCAGAGCGACACAGCGCCCCGGGGCTACGTTTAACCACCCATGGGCAGAGATGCCTGGGGCCCCCAGCACATCTGGAGGAGCAGTGGACATCTGGGTGGGTGTGCCCAGGTATGCAGACCTTGCATCTAGATAACTAACTGGGAATTCTGCTTTTCTCCCAGATATCCAAAGCCTGTTTCTGGAGATTTCTATTGTCAAGGCGTTTCTTGTGGGGACTCAAATACACCATTGAAACCATGGGATTTTCTTTCTTCTTTTGTTGTGGTGGTGGTGGTGGTGGTGCTTGGGAGATAGGTAGATTGCTCTTAATATCATGATCAGGTTTTTAGAAAACCCTTCTTAAAGGATTTAGATATGCTTCTTTGAATTTTTGAACCGCACACATAGGTCTATCCTGCTTCAATTATGAAATTGGAAGTTGTGATTGAAAGAGATGAATTGTGATAACATTATGCTAACGGAAAGGGAATTCTTACACCAGCGCTGCCTCCTTGCTTGCTGTTTGTGGAGCTTATTTTGAGCCCTCTCTCATGCTGGCTTTCCCGTCTGACTTGTTTATTTTCTCAGAGCATAAAACACAGTAGCCGGGAAGCACCTCTCCGGGAGGCTGCGTTTAGTTCTCGACTGAGGATTCCTTTCTAAACGGACTCAGGGATCATTTTAGCACTCACGTTGTTTGCCGAAATCCGAGCTGCTCAGGGAAATTAGAGCAGTTAATTTAATATCAAGAACGTTTTGGGGCTTCTCAGCTTATTCACAGGCAGCAGAGTGTAAATTAAATTGAGTATCCTGGAGAAAGCAGAGGGAAATAGAAGTGGCCTCCAAAACAGAGCCAGCCTTCCATCCATCTTCGGCCTCGCTGCTCCTCACCGGCACCCTGAGCCCATAGAAACCTTGCTTTATTCCAAGCGCCCCCTCATATGGTCCTCAGCAGAGGTCTGTGTGGCAGAAAGACAGCCCCCCACATGGTCATAGAGGGCGTGTTCGGCCATTGTGCACTAGTGGTAACAGGGCCGTAGGGCCACAGCCAGCACAGCGGCTCACCGAGTGGGGCTTCCTTCCATATAGTTTGAACCCAGCCCAGCCACACTTTCAGTGGAAGGACTCATTCTGCAGCCATCCATGACCAGCTGTGATGTCCCTGGCACTGTGCTAGGCACCGGAGTGGCTGATTTTGTGTGGTGGAAAGGAAGCAGCCAGTCACAGTGCGAAGAGCACTTCTCCTCACCACGGAAAACAGAACAAGCCCTATCCGGCCTCCTGGGGCCGCTGAGTCTGCTGCGTTCCTTTGCACAGGCCTCCCGGGTGCTGGTGTTTCGCGTGGAGTGGCCGGTGGGCTGTTTTGATGTGTTTTGGGGAGAATCTTTGAAGGAGGCCTTTCAAAGGCATGGTCCCAACCTTCGACCTGACCGCTTAGAACACGCGCCAGCAGCCTCCATCCACCCCCAGAAGCAAACTGCTAAGTCAAGTTCCAAAAGCCTTAGCTGAAGGTTCTGTGTGTTTGCCGATACCCTCGTAGAAAGGCTGGCCTTGCATTTATTTTGTATCTCACCTCTGGGCTTCCGGCCCAACTTTTGTGTGTCTGAGATGTACTTTTGGAAGAAAAAGCAACCTCGTGTGAACCAAGTGTGTATTTACTTTGTTTTAGGGACCTAGCTTATTTGCATGAAATAACAGGATTGATCGCAGGCAATTAATGAGCTTTTTACAAACGCTGACGCTCAGTGCCACGAAGATGTACTAGCTGGGAAGTGAAGTGACTTAGGTTTTCATTTACCCAACGGGACTCTCAGAGGCTTTGTACCCCTGTAGACTCATGTAACGCACGGTGCATCTTGGGAATGACTCTGAGGACCAGGGCTGGTATACTGTTTATCTGTGGTTAGAATGAAAGGAGACAATCTTAGTTATAACAAATAAATGTCTTCTGGAAAAGCACACTTAAGCATAAATATTTTAAATCTTGATACACTTCGTATGTTCTAAAACGGTCTATAAAATACACCCACAGAGATGTTTATAGTAAAGCTCAGTTTTCCCCGTTACTGATAAACAGCTGGGTGTCGACTTGTGCCACCCACTGAAAATATTTAAACATCATGTAATCGATGATGCATTAGACATCTCTGCCTTCAGCCTTTAAACCATCAGGGTCTTCTCTAAGACGCGTCATCCTGGGTTGCAGGACACAGATGGGACATTGATTTTTTAAATTTTTTTATTTTTTTATTTTTTTCATATCTTCTTTCCCCTCACCCTTTATAACATCTTTCCATCACTTTATCTTTTTTTTCCCTCTTCTTTCTGTGAGTTTCTCTTCTCCCCTGCAGATTGCATCCTTTCCATGTACAATTCTATATGTTTAGAGTATTCTGTTTGGTTCGTAGTGCTCTCAAAAAAGAAAACAGAAAACGCTTCACAAATCCAGCAAATAAATAATATTCTAATAGCAGGGACCTCTCTAAAATATCTACAAAAAGTAGACGCACCACAGACTGCCATCTCTACACACTACCCTGGACTTCCCAATTTGATGATTTAGATACTTTTCTATTTAAGTGGATGGTGCCGTTTTTGCCGAATTCAGCATGTTCATTGAGCAATGTCTTGGAGCCGAGGGCCAGCTCCACTGCATTTCTGCTTGGTAAGGTCTGGTGGCCTTGGCGCACAGGGCAGGGGGTGTTGATTCATCGGCCCTGAAACTGATGATAAATTCCGACGCTGGGCAGCAGTCGTGGGCTCCCTTAATGGAGCCTTTGCAGGGAATGGGCAGCCCGACACTTACGGGAAGTCTGTGGAAAGGACTCTCAGTAACTCGGAGAGGCTCCGGAAAACTCAGGGGCAGAGAGAACACTTGAGAGTCCACAGGACTGGGCATCAGCAAGAACTCTGAGCACTAGACACTGAACTCTCAACCTGAAAAGCGCTTCTGCCTCTTGAGAGACCCACTTCCTGTTTACTGTTAAATTCTGAGTGTCCGGTACCTTGTCCCGTGAGCATCCATGAGGTGACTCGGTTCCCATATTATCATGGCAAAGCCCATCTGTTGCGATGCAGTGCCTCACGCTGACTGCACCTATTCCACACGTGTGCATTCACACAATCCTGTATCTATGTATGTTTTCAGTGATAGCAGTATTTTGATTCTAGTTCTGCCTTCCTTCAGCAGGATGTGAAACATTCTGTGAGGGTTACCAAATGCAGCTTTGACATGTCTTTTGCAGAGAGTTGTCTCAGGCTAGGAGGGCACAAGTTAACAAACGAAAATTCCAGCATCAGGAGATCCTCCCACCTTGGAAGGGCTGATGTGTTCTGAAACAAAGGAAAGAAAAAAGTCTATGAGGCAGTTTTTCAACCAGCCACCCCCACCCCCAAAGACAGCAGTGTGTTCTGCACACAGAGTACAACAGACAACGTGATGCTAATAACCATTTTCTGTACAACATCTTTTTTTTAATCAAATGAGTTATATATAATATATGATATTTAAGTTGGAGTGTGGTCATGGCAAAATATCCTGACTTACACATCAGATATGTTTTGATTCAGAAATTACGGTATCTATTTGTTATTTCTCAACTAAAATTCCTCAGTCTCCAACTAGACTATATATTCATCAAGGCATCTTTTTAAAAAGACATTATTTTCATTCTCATGAGATGGTATTTTCATTCTCATGAGATGGAAAGGGACTTTTTTTTTTTAAAGTAGTCCTGAAAGAGGTGCATTTAATTCTCCCCAATTTAGATTTAAGTGGTACATCTTTAAGGCCATAACAATATCCTTCCCCCCCCCCAAATCAGGAACATTTTCATCAATGGATTTCTTTAATGTTGATGATAGTTGGTGCAGTTTGAGGGAATCTGTATTTAGTCAGAAAATGCTTCAATAGAATGACCTACCAGATGGGCCCCATAACAAAGCATGGAGGCATCAAACCACCACAGACATTTGGTGCTTAGAATAATAAAAAGACTATAAAATTAGATTAGTTGAGTCTAATTTGGAATTGGTATATTCCCCATGCACCCTTGCCGCTCTTGAGCAGATAAAGCCTTGAGATTTAGCACTGTGTCAGAACAGAAGACTGCAACTTCCAGTAAAAGGGAGACAGAGAGAGGGAGAGAGGGGAAAAAAAGCATTCTGGGAGGTCTCGGAGGGCAGAGCAGTGACCTCCAATGATTTACAGGCCTTTAGCTTAATGAAATTGTTTCAGTGACATGACGGTAAGAGCTCGTAATGGATTGGATGCCCTAATGTAATGAAATTACTCCCTTCTGCCTAAAAAAAAAAAATGCGCAATTAATATTTACTGAGACCTGACAGCCTTTGGTGCGCTCGTCTGTGTAGTTCTCTCAGACAGTCAGAGAGGAGAGACGGAGCAGCGTGGCAGACAGGCTGGCTCTGCACGAGCTCCTGGCGGGGACGAGCAGAGCCTGCAAGGGGTGGAGGGACAGGCGCTCTGGTGACCAGGACGCCCGGCCCGGGCGCCGGCTCCTCAGCGCTGCCCCCACTCAGCCTTCATGCTCTCCCCTTGCTTTTCCACAGGCAACTGGACAACAACCACATCAGCTGCATTGAAGATGGAGCCTTCCGAGCGCTGCGCGACTTGGAAATCCTGTGAGTTGATTTTGCGATCGCTGCCTTGTGTGCGTGCGTGTGTGTGTGTGTGTGTGTGTGTGTGTGTGTGTGTGTGTGTGTGTGTAGGAGAGAGGGGGAGTGTGTGTGCAGGGGGTTCCGTGCGGGTGCATTTCTGGGTCTTGCTGCTGCAGTGCTATTAAAATTGGGAGCTGGGAGATCCCTCCGGCTCACCTTGGCCAAAGTGTCTGCAGGCAGCAAAGTGTGATTTCTCACCTCCCACAAACGGGCTCCTGCTAATTAAGTCTCAGCTAAGCCCTTTCTCCTCTGATGCTCCCACTGTGTTTGTCGCTGGGTGAAACAGATGGGCTGGAGTAGCCCCCGAGCACCTGCCAGGGCATTCAGGGGACGTCTGTCTGGGTGGGAGCATGCAGGAGACAGGTTACAGGTCTGGGGAGCACCCGGGGGTCTGCTGGAATCACCTCGGATCAGAAAGGGACGTTGGCACAGAGTTGGGGGGGGTGTCCAACAGCCAGGTAAACTCCAATCATTGCCGTTGCTCCTGGGGTCTCACCTCAGGTTTAAACCCAAACTTTCCACAGTAACCTGAAAGCGGTGGGGGTGGGGAAGGAGGAGAGGAAGTGACCCCTCCCCAGAACCCTACTCTATGCGCCTTATCTAGGAAAACCTACCTGCCTTTCTGTGTTCTGGGTTTTCAAATGGGTCTAGCTAAGGAAGCCTGATTTCAAGGGGGAAAGTCAGCTAAGAGTCATCTTGGGGTCAGACTGAAGTTGAATTGTGTAAGAAAACATTCTTATTGTTCTCACCTCATGCTACACCTCTAGCTGTCCCTGATTTGGGGGACACTGGAGAGGAAGGCAGTGGAGCCTAGCCAAACTTCTGTCAGGAGATGTGTGGTTAGGTCCCAACTCAGCCCCTAATTAGCTGTGTGACCTTGGACAGGTCCCCTCCGCACTCGGAGCCTCAGTTTGCTCATGTGGCAAATGAAGGGGTTGGTTGCTGTATCGTGGGAGCAACTTCTCCTTTTCAAGTCCTGAATTGCTTGGTTCTAAAAATAATCTTGAAGGCACAGTTCCGTCCAGCGAATGTAAGGGTGAGATTTGTTGAGCATCCCGCCTCCCCCACGATAAAAAAATTACACAGTCAACCAGGCTACGTCTGCCTGGCTCCCAGAAGAGTGAATACATGTTGAACAAATAAATGAACGAATATATTAAAATGTCCCTTGGCACAGAAAGGAAGGAGTGAAAGGGCTGCCTTTCACCTTCCTGTTCACCTGGCCCCACAGACAGCGGCCCCCGTTTGGAGACATCCTCTCCACGTTGCGCGAGAGGAAGGTGATTCCAAGAGGAATCACGGGAAATGATCGGGCATGCTGATCAAGCTGCTGGAAATCTGGTGAAAGCTGAGAATCCCCTGTACAGAAAAGACAGGACACACAGCCTGGGAGGTTAGGTTGTCATTCCTAAGATGGATGGTCTCTCCTCACCCAAACTCTGACCCCGGAACCGGCAACACATGCGTGTCTGCTAGGGAGAGGATGCCAGCCCACATTCAGTAGCCTAGGACTTCTCATATCGAGAGGCTGGAGCGGAGACGGGTAGGCACAGTTTCCCCTGCCTGCACGGGAGCCTTTGTGGACAGGGCTGCTAGGAGCATATCCTCCTCTTCTTGAGAAGGATGAGCAAATTCCTTGGGAAGAGACCAGGAAATGAAAGTCACCAGCTGCCACGAAACAGCTGGGCGACCTGACAGCCGCGTGTTCATTCTGTCTCCTAGGAGTGGTGGCGTCTCGCCTCACCAGGAAGGCTGTCTGGGGGAGAGGGAATGGCTTTACAGTCAGACGCCTGGGCGTGGAGTCCCAGGCGTGGTGGGACTTTGGCCAGGCTACTCAACCTCTCTGAGTCTGTGTCCTTAACATTAAGAAGAGCCGCCTTATATACTTCATAGGAAGTGCTCTCTGAATGCTGTCCCTTCCACTTCCCTCACTTTCTCCCCACCATGCCCCCACCCCCATCAAACCCCTATCCAGGACAGAACTGGGCTGTCGCTCTCGACTCAGATGTTTGCTATTAAAAAAAAAATGTTGGTATCCAGGTATACCTGGTCTCTCAAACTTAAAGCTTGAAAACCTATAATGAGGGGGGGGGGGAAAGCCCACAAGATCTGATTACTTCATCTTTTCAATTCCAAACAAAGCCAGATCAATAGCTTTGTTTTAAAGACGCTCTCATGTGGCTTCACATGGCTGAGTACTTAAAATTAATCATAATCAGTTATTCCATGGGTTTTTAATTTCCAGCAGAGGCACACAGCTTTGGAACCATCCATCTTAATGGTGAGCCATCTGAAATTGGCTAGTGCTGACATCTCCATTTAGAGAACCTCCCCTCCCCAACCCCAGACCTTCCAAATCTCATCTACATATTGACAGTTTATAATACTTCCCCGTAATCATAACTTAGGCTCCATAACGAGTCTTCACAATGAAATAATAAATAGGCACTAAGTGAGGGCACCACACAGTAACTTAATAAATTCTTCAGAGAGTCAGAGAAGGAGCGAGGAGTTCTGAACACCCTCTCCCCAGAAAGGGCATCTTTAAGTATCGAAAGCTTTAAAAGTCTGCAAATTAAGAAGACAAAATATAGTATTTCAGGTGCATTTCCTCTGTGACATTATGCAGCATGAAGGACAAAACATGGGCTCGTTACCTCATGGAAAGCTCTCAGGATGAATTAACTTAGGGGAAGTATGTGGACGTCAACTAGATCTGACCCGTGAACAACATGGAGGGTTAGGAGTGCCGACCCCCATGTAGTTGAAAATCCACATTTAACTTTGACTTCCCCAAAACTTTAGCTGTCTCTTAGTATCAGCAGGGGATTAGTACCAGGACCCCTCACAGATACCAAAACCCACGGATGCTCAAGTCCCCTATATAAAATGGTGTAGATAAAATGCACAGTGTAAGTGCACTGTGGAAAGTTCGCGAACTTAATTGTCCAACCTCATATGGTCACTCAGCCTTTCGCATCTGCAGACTCCCAACCTCGGGTTGAAAACAGTATAGGTATTTAGTGGAAAAAATCCGCGTGTGCGTGGACCTTGTGCAGTTCAAACCCATGTTGTTCAGGGGTCAATTATACTAGTGGAAATATTGTATTTAACACAGGATCACCCTGTGATTTCGCCTTTTCTGTGGGTGGAAATGCCATAAAACTTCTTTCCATCAAGGCTGAGGTTGGTCTCCCCAGTTGCATTGAATGAGAACTTAGGAGGTGAGAAAGCAGGAACTCCTGGCAGTGAGGAGAGAGGAAGCAGTGCCAGGCTGGAAAACACTGTGCAATCTACCCACCTTGACCTCATCTGGGGCTCATGCCTAAGGGGAAAGACTGGTACAGAGTATGGCGGACAAAAGCAAGGAGCCACCAGCTCCCCTTTTCAGGTAGCCAGAAAAGAGATTAAGACAAACACAGCACAGGTGAGTCTTCTCAGGGCTCCCGTGCCACCACAGGAGAGGACTCCCAGCACCGGTAACAACAGCTAGCATTCGGGGCAGTTACCCGTCCCTGAACACCCGTCCCCCCAACCAGTGCTTAGACATACATACCTTACCCCATGGCATCCTCGCCAACCCTGCCACAGAGCTGCTCTCACTGCCACCCTCCTGTGCAGAGGAACAACCCATTTCAGAGAAGCCAAGGCACTGCTTAGCTAGTAAGCAGTAGAGCCATGTGAGCACCCATTCCATCAGGCGGCCTTTCTGATCCACGTTGCCAAGGCGCCCATGGCCTCGGAGGCCGCAGCGTGGTGTGCACCGGCCCCTGGAGCCCCACTAGGCAAGCTACCAGTGACGCAAAACCCTGAATGTCAGCGCCTCCCACAAGCCTGTGGAATTGTCATTCCCTGCACCCAGTTTAGGGGTCCTCACAAAGTCCAAGGTCAATCAAACTCACAAGGGAAAGAAAAGAATCCTGCTTTTTCAACGGCTTAACGTTTCAGTCCCGGAAACGACGTATCTCACTTTTGGATATCCCCAACTAACTTTGGCAGTCAATGGTGTGGGGGCTCCATTCTCCAGACCTCCCCAAAATACAGCCCTGACTTTCCATATGCCACTTCAGGGCCTTAATTGAAGGGCCCTGTTTTCTGTGAGTCAGACACCCTTCTGTTACCCAAATCACGGCCCTTTTGTTTCCACCTGTGCTGTATGTTTGGCAATTCACATACTAGGTATTCTCTAAGGAAGACGAGCTTACACTGCAGTCGTATATGCCGAGACTGCATTTCCAGCCCCATGTGGTCAGGAATCGTTTGTGGGGGTGCCCTGCGCCATGGGCTTCTAGTACCTGCTAGTGAGAGTGAGGACAGCCAGATATTTCACCAATTATGCCAGGCTCCCCCCTGCCCAACATGCCACCCTGGGTAAGAAAAATATTTAATGAAAAAAAAAATTAAGAGTATGGACAAATGAAACAAAAATGAGAAAACTTAAGTTAATAAGATTTAATTACATTTTTTTCAATAGTATTGCAGGAGAATAAAAGAGATTTTCAGACATTGTCTCCTGACTACATGTAGCCAGTCAGAAGTTCAAGTAGACAGGCTGCCACGATGCCAGACCAGAGATGTCAGGAACACGCCCTGAAAACGCTGTCGTCTTCCAGGGCGCGGCCTGCCCTTGATAGATCGCCGGTGTCACAAAATTGTACGCAGATCTACGGTCTGCAGATAATCAGCATGCGCTGATTTGAAGGCCTCGCTCCCATTTATGGCACTTGCCAGTTTGGGAAATTCAGTAACATTATTATGGGCTGGCCCTGGAAGGACCTTAGATGTCGGCAGGATGACTTCTTACTGTTGAGATAAGGCGCAGAGAAGCTGAGAGCAGGGCCGGGACTAGCGTAAGGCCCAGGCCTCCTAACATTTTGCACATTTGGGCTTCCCTCACCCTAGTCCCGGCCCTGGCGAGGAGACACCAAAGGCAACGGCAACTTATAGGTTGCAAAGAGACTAGA